TCTCTCTCTCTCTCTCTCTCTCTCTCTCTCTCTCTCTCTCTCTCTCTCTCTCTCTCTCTCTCTCTCTCTCTCTCTCTCTCTCTCTCTCCCCCCGCACGAAAGGATGCCGCCCCGCCCGTCGCCTTGCCGCCAGTCAATTCATACCATGCCACTTCCCGCTTGTCACGTCGTTTCAGCCCCACTTCGGGCCCCGCCCGTGTCAATTTTTTCCGACTGCACGGGGCGGGCCGTCTGACCGTGTCGGGTCTTCCCCCATGCCCTCGGCCCATCCTACCAGGTCGGCCCTTCCCCCACGCCCTCGGTCTTTCAGCAGTCCCAAGCGAGTTATAATTGCACTATGGGGCAAGATACAGTTCGCAATTGCACTTCAGGCACGCTACCTGGCCAGAAAGATGGATTGTATACATTGCCCGAACTGCAATTTGAAACTGTATTGTGACCCATAGCGTGATTATAACTCGTTTTTGTGACTCCCGCACACGGTGCCGCCTTGTTTCTGTTGGGCCCCACGCGGGGCCCTTTGCATGAGTAAGTAGCATGGAGATAGAGACAACAACGCGCAGCAGTGAGAATGGACAGTAACGAGCTCAGACTGCGACCAAAGGTGTCAAGGCTGCATGTGGGAGGACCAAAGGTGGCAATTCTACTCTGAGTCAACAGAAGTTCAGCTCAGGTCCAATGCTGCTCAACGGGGACCCAACTCAGGACTCCAAAGGTTGTGCTACAGATCTGTACGGATAGTGAAGCTGCTTCAACAATACACCGACATGGGAGGCTCAGCAGAGAGGCAGGGCACACCATCCAGTAAAGGAAGGGTGGGGGTAGGGGGACGGGAGGCCAGCTTGCCTGTGTGAACTGGAAGAACCACCAGTACTTGGCCCATACACCGGCCGCGGGGTTTCCCTTTAACGCGCCGCGACTGATGGGCTTCGGCCTACCGGACCACAATGGCTGGAGGCGCCAGCCAAAAGCAAAGCGAAACGACGCGCTGGCGGCTCGGCAAAACTTCTCACGCAGGGCGTTTCCCGGCTTCGCATCAATAGCTGGGCCAAGTACTGGTGGTTTAAGTGTAGGGGACAGAACCAGGCTCCAAGACAGAGATATCGAGGGGCTGTTAGCTGAGAGAAGGGGGAGAAGTCAATCTGTTCCCAACTCTCTCAAGAGCCGGCCAGGAGAGCTGTGTTTACTATCTCTTTTACTAGTCTATCACGGAGGCAAGCAACTCAGGCTGTGGTACTCTTCCATCTGCCAAAAGATTCACTCATCGAGTCATCGGACGACGACCCGGCCTTTCCGTGTTCGCCCAAATACATGTCTGATCAAATAAACTACTATGACAACAAACAACGGCCGGTGGCAACAGGAATGGGCTGTGGCAGAATGCTACTTACAATCTGTTTCCAACCCTCGTAGTACCAATAGCCGGTAAGAGACCTGTGTATATTAGAACCTTCCTTAGGATGTCATGTAGGCAGACAAACTAGGAGGCTGGGTAGTTCTACCGGTCAAATTTCTTTCATTCTCTGTAGATGAGCCAGGCAGCCTGCTGCCGTTACAATGACATGTGGGTTCAAGCGAACAACTACAATGTTCGGGGACGCTGGACCCGCAGTCCAGCAGGTGCTTCTCCCCACCAATAGATAGATCCGTCCCGGGAATGCTAGTGGTGCCTGCTCTCATCAGCACCCCTACCATCTTCACCCCAATACAACGCCCAGTCATTATCGCTGTATCTTGACGGAAAGTTGCACGACATACAGCCATAGTGGCCAGGCGTTGTATTCGGGTGAAGATGGTAGCATCAACTCTGGCTGTTCTTTAAACAAAAAAAAAATAAAAAAAAGGAATCGAGGAAGGTGGTGGCAACATGTCGTTTCCCACTTGTCGAGGGTTAGACTAAGTCCTGCTTTCGGGTATACATCCCGCCCTGCCATCCGATCTGGAAATCTCACCGCCACAGTGTGACCATGTTTTTTTTTTTTTTTTTTTTTTTTTTTTTTGAACTCGGTTAGGCTCCACCTATTGGTGGGGAGTAACACCTGCTGGAAAGCGGGTCCAGCGTCCCTCAACATTTTAGGAAGGGCCATTTTGTAAGCAAGAGATATGTAACCGTGCCACGTGTCCGACCTAATATATTCATGAGCAATCACCTAAATCTACACGCGTGCACACATTATCAATTCGATGGGCAGCATTGATTGCCCTCAACCGAGGGGATTAACTGCCCATCGCAGTCTAACATCTGACCTCTAGTCTGAATCCCTCGTCATCTTCAGAATCGCTCTTGCTGCACCCGGGGAGGAGGGGCTTTCAGAGTAGGGATTTTGGAAAATCAATCATAGCAAAACCTTGGACACCCCCCCACGATCCTCATATTCTACAAATCCACTCAAGTGGGGGGGCATCGTTTACACAGATTACACAGATCACCCGGATTCACACCCACCAACCTAATTAAACAACAGGTCACCAATCACTCACTCAGGCAGCCGCCTGCCCTGCCAATCTATCAAACTAGCAGCGCTGATGACTGCCTGTTCTAACACGTGGCACAATCCAGAATCAACACAGGAAATGAAAATCACCAAGCGGAATTGCCACGTGGCCAAGACAGGAAGCAACGATCCAGCGACGACCCAACATATAGCTTTCACTGTCCAACCCCCTCTCGCCACCTCCCCACTCCTCTCGCACTATCCAACCCCCTCTCGCCACTTCCCCGCTCTTCGCGCCCACACCCCGCCTTCCCGTTTGCCAATCCACCCTATCTTCCTCGTCACTCGCCCATCCCCAATCGAGCTCACCGCCTCACGATTGGTGTCGTTTTTGTTGTCATTGATATTGTTTTCCTTGTTGAAAACATTGAAAGGACGAAGATCCGGGCCCCTACCACACCCTGCCACCCTCCCACCCCGATCCCACAGGATCGGCACAATACTATTTCGCCCGTACAAGCTGACCCCGTCCAAATCGATGTCCGCGGCGTCCTGGATGACGTGGATGCGATCGTCACCGTCATCTTGACGATGATCACCGTCCGCGCCGTTATCGTTTTTGTTGTTGTTGATGCCGTTGTTGTTGTTGTTATTGTTGTTGTTGTTGTTGACGTTGTTACCGATGTTGTTGTCGCTGTTGTCGTTGCTGTTGTTGTTGCAGTTGTTGTTGTTGTTTTTGCCGTTGTTACCGACGTCGTTGTTGTTACTGCCGTTACTGTTGAGGGCATCGATGGGAGCCACAGCGGTGAGATAGTCTTTATTCTTACTGTCGGTGTTGATATCATCATCGGCGATGTTGTTAGCGGCATTCATGATGTTGTTATCATCATAATGGTAGCGGTCCTCCAGCGCTGACCATGTTAAAAAGTACTCCAAATGTCAACTAAATCCCCCCTAGTGGGACATGGCATCAGGGGCTCACCAGAAAGCTGGCATTTGTGGCACTGGTGAAGACACAGACCTATGTAGCCCATTTCCTTGGCTCCTTTTCATACCAAGAAGCCGTGTTAGGGCCTCGCCACACCACTCTCGAGATGAGGAAAAGACAAAAATGTGGCGGGTGCATCTGGCCATGTTCTAGCAGGAAGTTCATTCGCATTTTGCACACTTTGAGATTGGTGTGGCTATGCCCTTAGCCTGGTTCTCATATTGGTCTGCAACTCTGAGCTCTTGGTATTCCAATTTTAATCTGCAGTTTCAGTTTCAATTTGCAGTTGTGATTTTTTCCGGTTGGCTTTTTTGGTTGATTCAAGTTGGATTGATCTGAACCCTGAAAATAATTCAAGAAATTAGTATAACAAGTGAACCCGCTGCGGCTCCGCCCGCGGCGAGAAGAGCAGAGATTGTGAGAAATGAGGAGAGGGGGAAGGCGATAGAAGATGTAGAGATGCAGCGTTTCATGTGGATGCCAAAAAAGGAATATTTTGTTCCTCGGTTACTTGTTTTCCCTGTTGTACCAATTGTTTGTATTCAAAGAGGAGGCGAATAGAATTGCTGTCTGTTTGAGATCAGAGCAAGGAAAATCATGATGCTGGTTCTTGTAGAGTTATCTTTACATTTCATTCCTTGGCCGTGTGCTCTCCATGCTGCACGAACAGTCCGCATCGAAAGAGGAGTGTGTTGGTGTTGTCCATTGTCAGCGAGCTTCAGCTGGAGCGGCCGGAGGAGTCTTAAGCTTGGAGATCGCCCCCATCCCGATCCCCCTCCGAGTTTTGTCTCCCCTGTCCACTATCCCGACATCCCCGCCTCCATCCCCCCATCTCAAATTCGTCCGACCCCGACCTCTGGATCACACCCATCCTCCATCCCGATCTGGATGCCGGTTTCCATATCCGGATCTCCTCGACCGTCCCCCTCCATCCCGATCTGGATGCCGGTTTCCCCACGTCCCGACCTTGTCGCCCCCATCCCCCATCTCGACCTCGATGCCGACCCCCCCCCCTTCCCCTTCATCCCGATGTCATCGCTTCCCGCACCCCTTTTCCCTATCCGGATCTCCTCGCCCCCATCCCGACTTCCCTCTAAGTTCGCCCCCATCGCCCCATCCCGAATTCGTGGCCTACCCCGACCTCCGGACCGCCCCCATCCTGATCTGGATGCCGGTTTCTGTATCCGGATTTCCTCGGCCGACCCCCTCCATCCCGGTCTGGATGCCGGTTTCCCCACGTCCCGACCTTGTCGCCCCCATCCCCCATCTCGACCTCGATGCCAACCCCCCCCCCTTCCCCTTCATCCCGATGTCGTCGCTTCCCGCACCCCTTTTCCCTATCCGGATCTCCTCGCCCCCATCCCGATTTCCCTCTAAGTTCGCCCCCATCGCGCCATCCCGAATTTGTGGCCTACCCCGACCTCCGGACCGCCCCCATCCTGATCTGGATGCTGGTTTCCGTATCTGGATCTCCTCGCCCGACCCCCTCCATCCCGATCTGGATGCCGGTTTCCCACATCCCAACCTTGTCGCCCCCATCCCCCATCTCGACCTCGAGGCCGACCCCCGCCCCTTCCCCTTCATCCCGATGTCGTCGCTTCTCGCACCCCTTTTCCCTCTCTGGATCTCCTCGCCCCCATCTCGATTTCCCTCTAAGTTCGCCCCCATCGCCCCATCCCGAATTTGTGGCCTACCCCGACCTCCGGACCGCCCCCATCCTCCATCCCGACCTGAATGTCAATTTCCCCACATCCGGAGCTCGTCACCCCGATCCCCGATGGCCGACGCCGACCTCCGAGTCTCCCCCTCCTCATCACGATGTCATCCGGACCTCTTCCTCGTCATCCCGTTATCGTCGCTTTAGCCCCATCCCGACCCCTCCCCTTCTCCCATCCCGACTTCGATCCCGATGTCGTCGCTCCGGATCCCGTTGTCCCCATCCTAATCCCCCTCGCAGTTCCCCCTCCCCTATCTCCTATCCCGACTTCCTCTCCCCACGTGCCGACCCCGTCGCCCCCATCCCCCATCTCGACCTCGATACCGAATTCCTCCTTCCCTATCCCGACCCCCCTCCTTCCCCCATCCCGACTTCGATCCCGATGTCGTCGTTCCGGATCTCGTTGCCCTCATCCCAATCCCCCTCAGAGTTTTCCCTGCCCTATCCCCTATTCCGAACTCCTCGCCCCCGTCGCCCCATCCCGAATTCGTGGCCGACGCGGACCTCCGGACTGCCCCCACCCTCCCGACCTCGTCGCCCCCATCCCACCCCCTTTCCCTATCTGAATCTCATCGCCCCCATCCCGATCCCCCTCAGACTTCCCTCTCCCCTATCTCCTATCCCGACCTCCGAGTCCTCGCCCCCGTCGGCCCATCCCGAATTTGTGGTTGACCCCGACCTCCAAACCGCCCCCATTCCCCATCCCAACCTCGATGCAGATTTCCCCACATGCCGACGTCGTTGCCCCCATCCTCCCATCTCGACCTCGATGCCGAATTCCTCCTCCCCTATCCCGATCCTCCCCCTCCTCCCCCCCCACCCCTTTACCCCATCCCGACTTCGCTCGTCCATCATCGCGAAGAAGCACCCACCGCTGGATCTGTTATCTTAGCGGGAATTCTCTTAAAATTGGGAACTTATCACTCTCAACAAAAAAAAAAAAAAAAAAAAAAAAA